GTTAGGAACTTACCTGTGTGTATGTGTAGGTGGGTTGTATGCATGTGAACTGGTGAGTGTGTGTGTGTTTGTATATATATATGGCATTGTGTACATGATATACGAATTAGTGATCTGTGTCTAACTTTTGGGGTCTATAATGTATGTGCTTGAATTGGTGATAGGTATGCCTGTGCCTAGGCTGGTATGGATGTGTATGTGCCTGAGCTGGTAGTGTGTGTGTGTGTATGGACCTAATTAATTTGTGTGTTTGTATATGTGCAATTGTGTCACACCCTCCTTTCTAACAGAGCAATATTGAGATCCTGAGAGTTGGTCTGACCCCACAGGGCAACAATTATACATGTTCAAACCAGAATTTGGGGAATCAAGTGGGAAACAAGTTGTTTTATTGTTACAATGTGACAGACACTAAGTTGAACTGTTCCTTCTTTTGACTACAACATAGACAAAGCATTACTGAATCTTCACATGCACATGCACAGGAAACAAAGGAAAATCAATGTTAATTTCATCAAGTTGGAACAGTTTCACAAAACAAGTTTGGATTTTTAAAGAACATTGTTACAAATATTTTAGAAAAAACAAATTAATTTTGGGATTAGGAACAGAAATGTCGTTCACACCTCATGCTACAATTAGCAGAAACAGAAGCAAGAGCTCACAAAAACATCTCTATTTGTTAAAAAATTTTACAATCCTACATTCAAACATCTGAGGCATGCATACCCTTTTATTTTTTTAATACAATGCATTTCTTTTATTTTATAGTTCCTTAGAGTTCTTATTTTACATAATTAACTGTGCTAAGAATGTATATTCTTATCTTCCACAATCAAGCTTGGTCTATTCAAGCTTCACAAGGATAGATATTAAAAAATATTCTTCTTATTATTATTATTTTATTAATGTTAAGCTTCTACAACTCATAACACAGTTGACTGGATGAAAACTGAAGTATACCTTTCCCATTAAATGCTCCAAACTGGATCCCAATATGGGTATCCTGGCTCTTTAGGACAATAATTAGATGCATGGAAAGGCATGTTTTTACTGGGAAAATACAAATTAAGAAATATATTAATTGTCATGGCTCTGTGAACATAATATTGAATGTGCCTTCATTT